TTTTTTCTGTATCTTTCTCTCTGAACATGTTTTCCTATTTTTGACTCAATTTTCTGTCTTTTCTATGAGATTATCTGGGTATGTATAGGGTTAAGCATTCAGGCTCTGGGTTCAGAGTGCCTGGGTTCATCCTGCTCATTTGACCCCAGGCCAACTATATACATGGCCTCTCAAGATTTCAGTCTCCTTTTCTGCAAGTGAACAGAGAGTGAGACTTCCCCCTAAGGGCAGCTGTAAATACTAAGCTCACAACTGCCAGAGTAAATGTTCAATAAGTGAGCTCTTAGGAATATGGTTGTTGTTGTTGTGTCCTTTACCCCTTTCTTCTGTCTTTCATTTCCCCTCTTTCTTTCTGTCTCAAAATACCCACATATTCCTGCACATCTTACCACTTCCTCTCTTCCCTCCCTATATGACTCCTTAACTATTCCTGCTCTTGAACAGCATCCCCCACATTTAAATCAGCCCCTTTATCTGTCATCATCCAGGATCTCCTTTGTTGATCTTGGGCCCATAGTTCTTAACCTTTCACAGTTTTCACACTGATATGCTCCTGCAGGGTCTCCCTCTAAATCACAGTTACTTTCAGGTCAGCATTGTCTTTAAATTTGGTTCCCCGATACACTGGGTTCCTGTTCCTCTGTCTGGCTATTGTGCTAATGGTATCTTGTCATAGCTCCTCCTCCAGGCTCAGCCCCTGCTCAGACTTTCATACAAACAGCCCTCCCTGCCTTCTCCATGCTCCTCAACAGGTCTTCCCTGATTCCCAAACTCCACTCAGGACTCAGGCCCATTTCCCATTCTCCTTTTCTGTTAGCAGAAGAGAATCAGTTTCGATCTGTTTGCAATCACCTTGTTCAAGGCTCGGTTGGATATCAGGTCTCTCCTCATTTTCTTCTCCATCACTTCTTAGGAACTGTTCTATGTTTGGTATCACTGAGGAGAGGGCATAAGAAGAAGATGATTAGAGAGTGGTGTCATCATCTCAAATTACACTTTTAGGAATTTCCACCCCTTGTGTCACTCAGTGCTCAGTGGGTCCCATTCCTGTTGGTAAAGTTCACCCTTCATCCCTGGGACAGAAAAGAGACTACCCAACAAAGGGGTCACTTATGCTTCTCACACATAAAGGAGCCACTCAAATCTCAGGATAAATGAGTTGTGGCAACACTGTTAACCTGTTACTCTAGCAAAAAATTTCAGCTGCCCAGGATAGCATATATCAAAATAAATAATGTACTCTTTATTTTGAAATGTGTTTGCTGAACTGATGTAACTGAAAGGAAAAACAGGGATTTCCTTGGGAAGAAAACAAAGATCCTATATAGGTTTACATATATAAAGAGGAAAAAACACATAAGCTTTAAAAATGTGGCTGGACAAGAAAAGGTTTTGGCTTAACTCACTCAAGGAGGATGAGTGCTTCCCAAAGAGACAAATCAGAGGACACAGGTGATCCAGAGGCACCCAGATCCCAGGACAAAGGAAGGATACTCCCTGAAGCTGCAAGCAGGGACTGAATATTGTGGCATTGGGCCAGGGACCTGGGAGGTTGCCAAAGAAGGGAGAACAGGGCACCAGCCCAGGGACCCTGCATGTAGGTAACCCAACAAACATATGAAGAAAGTTAGTACACCAAAAATCCTTAGGGTAGATCTCTGCAGAAGGTCAGGGGAACAGACTTAGGGAAGCAGTGAGCCTGTATGCCTCAGGGCTGATGGCAGGGATAACTCCTAGGCAATAAACCTTACTTATAAATGTTATAAATCTGTATTATCTTTTTACTGTGTAGTAAATAACATCAAATTCCTTAGCTTTAGAAGCCAGACCTTCCAAAATGTTTTTTCACACTTATCCTTTTTAAAAAAAAAAAATATTGTTGAGAGTATTATAGATGTTCCCCCATTGCCTCCTCTACCTGGTTCCTGCCCCATCCAAGCCCTTCATCACCCTATTGTTTGTGTTCATAGGAAATGCATATATGCACGTGTTCTTTAGTTACTCTCTTTCTACCCCTCTCTCTCCCCTCCACTCTGAGATTCATCAGTGTTTCCATGCCTCTGGTTATATTTTATTTATCTGTTTATTTTGTTCATTAGATTCCTTGCTCATTTATTTTGACTTTTAGATTCAAATGTTGATAAATGTGTATTTATTGCCATTTTATTGTTCATATTGTTGATTTTTCCTTCTACTTCTTCTTTTTCCTCTTCTTATTCCTTCATTTATTTTGCTACTTTTAAGATTCTCTCTTTTTTTTAACCTTTGGCATTTTAATTATGATATGGTGTGGGTCTCTTTAGATTCCTTTTTTTAAAAATTAAAAAAATTAAAAGTAATATTTTTATTGATTTCAGAGAGGAAGGGAGAGGAAAGGAGATGTAGAACCATTAATGATGAGAGAGAATCATTGATTGGTTGCCTGCTTCATGCCCCACACTGGGGATCAAGCCTGCAACACTGGCATGTGCCCTGACTGGGAATTGAACTGTGACCTCTTGGTTCATAGGTCAACACTCAACCATGGAGCCCTATTGGCCTGGCTGGATTCCTCTTGTTTGGGACTCTCTGCACTTCCTGGACTTGTAAGGCGATTTCTTTCACCAGTTAGGAGATGCTTGCTGTCATTATTTCTTCAAATAGGTTTTCAATATCTTGCTATCTTGCTCTCTCTTTTCTTCTTCTGGTACCCTCATAATGCGAATGTTGGTACACTTGAAGTTGTCTCAGAAGCTCCTTACACTATCTTCATATTTTTGGATTCTTTTTTCTCTTCTGTTTGGGTGTTTTTTTGCTTCCTCATATTCCAAATTATTGATTTGATTCTCAGAATTCTCTACTCTACTGTTGAATCCTTCTAAATTATTCTTTATTTCAGTAAGTGCATGTTTAATTTCTGACTGGCCATTTTTCATGTCTTTGATGTTCTCACTAAGGTTCTTGAATTCTCACTAAGATCCTTGAAAATCTCACTAAGTTCTTTGAAGCTCTCATGAAGATCATAGTTTGCTTGCTTCCATTTCATTTAGTTCCTTTTCTGGAGATTTCTTCTGTCCTTTCACTTGTGACATGTTTCTTTGTCTCTACCTTTTAGCTTCTTCCCTGTGTTTGTTTCTATATATTTAAGTAGAGCTCTTATGTCTCCTGGAATTGGTAGATGGCTTTGTGTAGTAGGTATCCTCTAAGGTCCAGTGGCTTAGCCTCCCTGTCACCTGAGCTGAGCACTCTAGGTACACTCTTGTGTGGGTTGTGTGCACAGTCTTGTTGTAGTTGGAGTCAGTGGTAGGAATTGACTCCCAGGCCATTTGGCTGTGAGGACCTGCTGTGACTACAGTGGAAGAGCTACTGTGCAGGAGACACCACTTTGGAGCAGGACTTGCTTCAGTGGGGCTTTGGTGCTCACTGTGTCTGCCCCTTGAGTGTGTTGCTTTGGGATGAGTAGTATTGTAATCTGGTATGGTCTGAAGCTGTCCACCCGGTGCACTGTCTCTAGGGCCTTCTGGGAGGTGCAAAGTCAGCCACTCCCTGGGCCACTCATCAGGAGCTATAGAGAAATCTGCAGATGGCTGCTACTTGTGCCCAGGTGAGGCCAAGCTGTCTTGGAACTCTTATTGATAGGTATGGGGCACGATGTCCTCCCAGCTGCTTATTTGAAAGATTTTAGGGAAGTCTAAAGCCTGAAACATGACAGACCATTCATATGAAAAGGCCACTGCAAACATCTTGTTGGGGCTTTAAATTGGATGGGGGGATGATTGTGGTGTCTTAGGGAATCATTAGGGTGGAGCGAACAGTGGGAGTCAGGCTGATATAAACTCAGATATGGCTTCCATTGAGCTCTACAATTGGGGAGGTCTCAGCATAGGAACAATGACCCCTTTAGAGCACCACTGTCTGGGAAAAAGCTACCCCCAGGTTTTTGCTCTGATGCCAGACAATCCAGTTCCTCCCCATATGTTCCTGTACCCCCCTCTATCCCCCCTCCCCCAGCAATTGCCCCAGTGCTGGAGCTCAGAGGGAGTATGCCCAAGTAAGTCTGTGTACTGGCCCTTTAAGAGAAACTTCTGGGGTCTCCAGCAGCCTTTGTTTCATTCAGCCACAATCCCCACTGGTTTTTCCAGCCAGAAGTTATGGGGGCTTCTCTTCACACCTCTGAAACCCTGGGATGGGGGTACGGTGTGGGGCTGGGACCCCTTGCTCCTCATGGGAGGCCTCCACAGCTGAGATATACCTCCCAATTAAAACAATGCCCCGTGTGGGTGTCAGGCCAGCCCCTTCCATGTCTCTGCTCCTTCTACCAGTCTCAATGTGCTTTCTTCCTTAATTCTCTAGTTGTAGGACTTCCATTCAAATTTCAAGCAGTTCTGAAGGACGGTTGTTCTGTATTTAATTGTAATTTTGATGTCGTTGTGGGAGGCAAGGAGTACCAGCATTTACTTATGCTGCTATCTTGGATTTACATGCTTATCCTTTTTGAATCAACTTGCACAGTCTTCTTCTCACTCTGAGATTAATCTAATTTGTCCTTGTTCAGCAGACACATAGATCATTTACCTCTCTATGTTTGTTCCATTATCATCTGCATTTCTCAGTTCATATCATTTTTGTTTTGAATTCTCCATTATTATTTGGAGATCTTTTTGAAACCAAAAATATATAGAATAAAAATTTTTCTAGGCAAGTCAAACAAAAATTATTGGAGGACATCTTCTTTACTAAGAACCCATGTAAAAGTATAAAATCATGCATTTTCAGGAAAGAAGTAGAGAACCAAACCAGTAGTTTTGTATAGTATCCAAACATCTCTCTGGCAGAGCAATTGATTTTGTGATTATTTGATTATCACACTTGTCATGGGGAATGAGTTAATAAAACCATTTTCCTTCTTCACGAACAAATTTTTTGTTCATTATTCTGGACATCTGATGAAGGTGGCCTCTTGTCTGTGTTAGTAGGCCGACACTGAGCTTAGTGTTTTTAAAATGACCGGTGACTGTAGGTAGACAAATTGCATGTGGCCTGGAGGGACTAGATGTGAACTACAAGCCATTTTTTTGTCTTCCTCCAAGGTATTGACTCTTGTAATTCAGCTGTCCCTGGTGGGGTCTCTGAAGGTTATGACTACAGAATTGTTACATGAGATATTGACTCCTCTGGGCATGCTGTGGCTAAATCAGTGTCGATCCTGCAACTAAGATGTAACTTGAGGTGGGTTATAGTTAACTTGGTAGACTGCCATGAGGACCCCTGCTAAGTGTCACAAAGAAGAGCAACTGATGCAGGCCTGTTGGAGTGTTGTGTTTCCTGTCATTTGTCCTTCTGAGAAAATCTGAATCCATTGTGGCTCTGGTTGCCCTGAGTCAAGATACCAAGTTACTCAGACCTGCAGGTGGGTGTTTGTACTGTAGCCATTTTATGATAAGCTTTGAGTGGCTAATGATATATTTGTTTTCTTATCTGCAACATCCTCACTGCCCTGCACTGTGTCTGACACCTGGTACACTCAATATATACCTGTGGGGAAAAATTGGCCCTGGACATAAAAAAGTAGGTAATAAACCTAATTACCTTCTTTTTTAAATCCTCACCTGAGCATATTTTTTTCCATTGATCTAGAGAGAGAGAGAGAGAGAGAGAGAGAGAGAGGAAGGGAGAGAGGAGGTGAAGAAAGAGCGAGAGAGATCTAAGAGAGACATTTCAACTTGTTTCTTCCCGCATGAACCCTGATTGGGATTGAACCAGCATTTGAGGTAGGTGCCCTTAACCAGGTATCAACCCATGATGCTTTAGTCTTCAGGCCAAAGCTCTAACCACTTGGCAAAAGCAGACAGGGCCCTAATTACCTTTTTTGAAGATTTTATAAATATCATTTAAACCACGGTAGGTGTCCATGATGTCCTTGCTGAACAATGCTTCCAGAAGGGACAGGTTAAATGTCTTCTCCACTTCATCGAGAACATGGTATATGACTTCTTTTTCAGAACCCGGTGTTTTAAAAGATTCTTTAGACATCTTAAAAAATAATGAATTGGGAAAATATAAATATAGATTTCCTAGTTACAAAAGAGCCTTAGAAAGTGATTTTATAGTTAATGTATTACAATTTCCCAACATAGTTATCTTCTCATGTACAGTTTTATTTTATTTTTTAATATATTTTTATTCATTTCAGAGAGGAAGGGAGAGGTAGAGAGAGACAGAGACATTGATGATGGGAGAGCATTATTGATTGATTGCCTCCTGCACGCCACCTACTGGAGATCAAGCTCGAAAACTGCACATGTGCCCTTGATTGGAATTAGAACAGGGACCCTTAGGTCCACAGGCCAATCCACTGAGCCAAGCCAGCTAGGGCCTCATGTACAGTTTTAGAATTTGTCTATAATATTATGACTACTAGTTAACAACTCAATCCATCTTCCTTGAAAATTCCCTTATGTGAATCTGATTTCCTCACCTTCATTTCTATTAGATGGAATAAGAAGCAATTATGAAGAACAAATTGGGTTAAAGCTAAGTGCTTTGTAACCCTTTCAGAGTCCGGTTAAATATTTCGGGAATAGGCTTAGCAGGAGATGAGCTGCTGTTCTATGGACTGGTCAGCCCTTGTCCCTCCCCTAGGACTGACGTGGCCTGGAAGCTCCTGTGAACTTTGCCATAAAGAAAACCTATGGGTAGGGAAAGGGAAAACGTGCATCTCTATATCTCCACCTACACCTTTTGCTAAAATCAACCTAAATTCCAAGAAAAAAAAATAGAAAGGAAACTGAAAACTGTTGTTAAAAGAATAGCAAGAATCTACTTTCAAATTTGTCCTAAGAAGACATTGATTCTCTGTGGATTTTAATTTTCTCAGATCTAAGTATTTAAATTGATGTCCATTGAAATGAAATGCTGTATCAATTATTATATCAATAAATGAAATCATTCAACTTCTTCATCCATTCATTAAAATTACGTTTAATTTCCATTTTATACTATATTGTGTATATAATTCCTACAAGGCATTAAACATCTATGTAGCACTCCCACTTCACATCCAGCCTATCTCCAGTGCTATTAACCCCACTATAGGGGATACCACGGAGCACTGTTCCTTCAGTTAGGAGCAGATCTGTCTTCAGTAATGCCTGCTTCTCTTCTCCCTTCTGATCTTATAAGAGCACTTACAGCAGTACTTGAGAGGGTCCCCACTCCTAGGCGACTCCTCAGTTGCCCAATTGTGTTCTGATGTTTGATTCCAGGATATCAAAGTATAACTTAGTTTACCAGATTGTGACATAATAAACTTTACCTACTTCATACATTTCATTGTTGATGAATCCATAGTCACGGAGAAGTTCAAGGAAAGGAGATGCTACTTTTATTATATTTGAAATTGCGTCCTTCTGTCTTTTGAAGTGGCAGAGTGCAATGTCATAGATACGCTTGTTTTCTGTAGACATCCTAGGGAGAAAGGACACCATGAGAAAATGGTCATCAAGACTTTGATATGCCTGTGGACGCTGTAACATTTTATAAATGAAGGAGAGGTAATGAAGAACCAACACATAAAAAATACGTGTCCCTTTGTAGAGATTAGAACAAATAGAACTGAAACAATAGACAAAGCTGTAATAAAATGGAGCATAAAGGATTAGAAAAACATGAGTAATATTGAAAATTTCCAGTCTGTCATGATTAAAACCATTGTAAAATTATTGTCTCCTAACAGATCTGGAATTTTTATGAAACAATTTTAATTTGTACTAAAGTGAGATGGACTAAACTGGCCACCCACAGAGGAAAATGAAACAATGGATTAATAATGGAATGTAAGCTTAAAATGCATTTTAATTAACAACTAAGAGAAAATAAATCTGAAAAAGATAAAAACAAGGTGCTCCCTTTTTGACCTACCGCAGTTAAGAGAAATACCATCTTGACTTACAAAGCTAGTACATAAATGGAAAGATGTATTTTAATAATGATATGATAAGACATAAACTGAAATTTCACAAGAATATCTATCATTTTTTCCTGGTGTTTCAGCTTTGTGTTAATATCTATCTATCTGTGCTATTGTTGCATGTAATGAATCTTTTTAGGCATCTGAATTTCAGAAGTGGCTGCTGTTTCCTGTGAAAGTAGTTGTACTATTAAGCCTGAGTCTGTAATTTTGCTTCTTAGTTGATCTTTTTTATTGCTCTGACAATAATGTTTTAGTAGACATTTTGTATTCCTGAAAATCATGAATACTCATAAGTTTCTTTTTTGAAACCAGGAGAAAATTATTGGTTCTCTCCAGTACCCAATATTCATCAGGGAATAATAATGTCACCTTATTATGTCAAATTCTGTAAACTCCACATTCTTTTTAAAGATAGATGATTGAAGAGAAACATCTGTCTTCTCTTGTATGAGAATTGTTACTAAAATGAAAAATAAATAATTGGTTTCACAATGACAAAGAGAATGGCAGGGGGCAATGAGTAAATGAGAGATTTCTACAACAAAATAACGGTCAGGGGAGCATTAAATGCTTTGTAGGACGAGCATGCTCCCAGCAATCAGGAAAGCAACCTTTGTGTCCTGTGGAGTCTTGAAGGCAGAGGATATAGAAAGGAAGACATGTTGCTGAAAACTATCATGTTATTTGAAAAATGAACAGTAGGGCAATGTACCCTTCACCCCTCAACTTGCATACTGACCAGGTGAATTCAAGAAAATATTACTGTCTTTTCTACCACGATATGTTCCTGTTGCCTGTGATTGGATTTCATAGATCAATAATATATCACGTATGCTATGTGCCTGACTTCTTTTGCTCATCATCCATGTTTTTGGGTGATTAGAAGTTTGTTCCTCTTATTGTTCAGTGGTATTCCATTGTTGTGTCTAATACCATCTATTTATTCATTTTCCTGTTGAAAGACGTTTTGGTTGATTCTAGAGGAAGACAAATGTGAATACAGATGCTGTTCTGATATAAATATTTCTGTAGCATGTTCTCATTTCCCTTGAGTAAATAATTAGGAGTGTAATTGCTGGCTCACTGTGTAGGAGTGTCATTAACAGTTTTGGAAGCAAACTGTTTTAAAAATTTGTTAGAAATAGCCTTGCTAATGTAACCATTCTAGAGTGTGATGTGGTATCATATATATATAACTTAAATTATTTATTGTTGAAAGTATTATATATGTCTCCTCCCCCCCATTGACCTCTCCCCAGCTGCTCCCACTCCCAGCACATGCCCTCACCTCTCTGTGTCCATTGGTTATGCTTATGTGCATGCAGCATACAATTCCTTTGGTTGATCTCTTACTTGTCCCCTTCCACCCTCCCCTGCCTTCCCTCTGAAGTTTGTTATAGTTTTAATTTCTATTTCTTTAATGACTAATGATGTTAAACACATTCTTATTAGAAATTCATATACCTCCTTTTGTGAAGTGCTTGTTCAGGTCTTTGGCCCTTTGATATTATTGGACTGTCTTTTACTTATTGATATGTAGGAGTTTGTTTTATCTTGCAGATAGAAGTATTTAGTTTAATATATGTATTGTGAACATTTTTTCTCAGTCTGTGGCTTGCCTTTCATTTTCTTAACCATATCTATTTTTTCAAACATTTTTTTCTGAAAGTATTACATATGTCCCCTTCCCTCCCCCCGCCACCATTGACCTGCCCCTGCCTGCCCCTGCCCCCACTTCCTGCCCCACGCCTTCAGCACCCTACTGTCTGTGTCCATGGGTTATGCATCTATGCATACAAGGTCTTTGGTTGATTATCTCCCATCCACCCTGCCTCCCCTCATTCCATCTGAGATTCCTCACTCTGTTTCATGCTTCAAGTCTCTGGATCCACTCTGTTCCTCAACTTATTTTGTTACTTAGATTCCACATATGAGTGCGATCATGTGATACTTGTCTTTCTCTGACTGAAGAGAGATTTTAAAATGTTTGATGATTTCCAATCTACCCATTCTTTCTCTTTTGTGCTTAATATATTTTGTGTGCTATCTATGAAATATATTCCTACCCCAAGTTTATGAAAATATTAAAAAACCGATGGGTCTTAGTTTGGATATTTTATTCTGCATAAATGATTTATTTGTCTATCTTAATTGGCTTGATAACTATAGCTTATAGAAATCTTGAATTCAATTGGAAAAATATTGTCTTGATTTTTCTAGGTCTTTTGGTTGTGCACATGCCTTTTAGAATCCATTTGCCCATGTGTATAAGAAAAGTCATTTGGATTTTATTAGATTTGCATTGCATCTATAGGTAAATTTGGTGAGACCTACATTAACATTTTTGAGCTCCAATTTTTAACATTGTATCTATCTCCATTTATGTAATTGTTTTAATTTTAGCTGGCAGTGTTTATAGCTTTCAGCATAGGTGTCATGCACATCTTTCATTAAACTTATAACTTGTTATTAGTTTTTGATACTATTGTAGATAGTATTGAATTTTAACTGCTTGATACACTTGTAAGAAAATAGAATTGGTTTTAAAAATATTAACCATGTATCCATAATCTTCATAAGTTTACCTGTGAGTTCTAGTAAGATATTATAGATATTTTAGATTTTATAGAAACAATCATGTGGTCAACAACAACAACAAAAAATCTTTACTTCTTCCTTTCCAATAATTATTTCTTTTTCTGGTCTTATTTAAGTCGCTAGGAATTTAAAAACCATGTTGAAGGAAAGTTGGTGAGAACATACTTCTTTGCCTCATTTCCACTGTTAGAGGAAAAGCATTTAGTTTCACCATTAAGTATAAGATTTGCTTTACATATTTGTGTATATGGGTGTCCCAAAAACATATATACACACTTCAACAGCTGATAGCTTGATATTTCTTTCTTTTCAGCCAGACCACTCTTTGAACAAAGAAAATTCATCCTAAAATGCTACGGGAAGTTTGAAAATGCAGTTGAAGTACAAATACTTGCCTTTATAATTATTCAAAGTGTCTATACATTTTTGGGATGCTGATTACTCACTTAATTTTCATTCCTTTTCAGGTTAAACTGATTTGAAGTAATGTGTGAAGCCAGACTTCTCTTTGACCAAAGAAAATTTATCAAAAAGACTTTTATATGGGGATACATAAAAGATGAAGTTTATGATACAAAACGGACAAGAATTGATGAATTGAGGGCGCACAAATACTGAACAAAATGATTCTTGAGGTTTGCGATTCCATTGTTACATGCTAATAGCAGTTCCTAGCCAGAATGGTCATTAGTTTGAAAACAGGCATTGACAAGAAAAATTATTCATTTCTATAGATTCTTTTAAATTTTGAAAATGAACTGTATATTAGTAAACACTGATTTCATATTCATTCGAATTGTGTATACTTTTTTGGGGGACAACCTATATATACATATATATGTACAAAATATATACTATGCATTTTGTGTATAGTATATGTAATATTATATTCATATTAATATATACTATAAAATATTTAATACATTAATATACATTTTAATGAGTACTATATAATTATATATTATATATGATATCTTGAAATATATCTTTTATAAGAATAGGGAAGTTTATTGCTATTGCTAGTTTGTTGCAAGTTTTATCATAAATAGATGTTAATTTTTATCAAACATATCCATTGAGATATTCATATGGTTTTCCTTTTTTATTCTTTATTGGTGAATCACATTGATTGAGTTCTGCAGGCTCTTTTTTAAAAATATATTTTATTGATTTTTTACAGAGAGGAAGGGAGAAGATTAGAGAGTAAGAAACATCAATGAGCGAGAAACATCGATAAGCTGCCTCACTGGGGATGTGCCCGCAACCAAGGTACATGCCCTTGACCGGAATTGAAACTGGGACCCTTCAGTACACAGGCCAATGCTCTATCCACTGAGCCAAACCGGTTAGGGCTCTGCAGCCTCTTCTTAAGTAGAAACCGATAACCACAACTCCACAGACATTTGAAAGAATTCTCCAATATTAGAATTAAAGGATAACATAAAAAAGAGAAATTTACCCTATGAAAAACAGAGATGATGTAGGAAGGAGAAAGCTTTCACAAAACTAATAATTATAGAGAGAGTTTTGAGAATGCATTTTATACTCCATGACGCTAAGAAAAAGAAACTACAGAAAGAAGTAGTGGTCTTAATATTTTTAAAAAATGATTTCAGAAATAAAAAATTATTAAAATTATTGTAAAATAAAAGAAAGAAAATTCTTCAGAAAATTAGGTAAATACATTAAAATGGAATAAAAGATGAAACTTGAGTGAAAATATAAGATGTGAAACTTAAATATAGGTATTCTAATAGACATGTAGTTGGAGTCAAGGCTCCTGGACATGAAAAATTCAAAGGAGGAACATATCAAAGGAATTATTTAATGATATTCCACAGAGTGGAGGACATGAATTTTCAAAAGGACTCAATTGGGTATTTAGACAAATGAAGTT